GGATACTTGCTATCGGTAATAATAAGTTTATATATTTTTTAATTTAGACATTTCGACATTATTTAGACATTTCGGCATAATTTAGAATTTCGGCATTAATTTAGAATTTCGGCAGACTAAATATAAAATGTCGAAATATTTCTACAAATTCAAACCAATTTCGGCTAACAACATTAGGTCATGTGATTATGTGGTTGCCGAGTTATCTTCACTCAAAGTTTAAAAAAAAAATGGGCGCAGCTTCTGTTTTGATTTCCCTCCAACTTGAGGAAGATATCTCGACAATTGCCTGATCAAATTTGAAGAAATGTTTTTTATTTGAATTCTATGGATTCATAGAATTTAAATAAAAAAAGTTTCATCAAATTGGTCAGGTAGTTATCAAGATACCTTCGATCAAAGTTTTAAAAATTTTTATTATTACTGGGGAGGGAGAAGTATAAATACCAGCCCCATATTTTTGATAATTTTATCGTTATTTAAAACTTTATTAAAACTTTATTAAAACCTTCCAACAAAAAGGCCACCTAAAAAAGTAAACTATATAATATAATATATATATAGTAATAGTAATATAAATTTATATTATTCTATTGTATTTTGTATACTGAATAACATGAATTTAAAAAACTTTTGATAGTTTTAAATAATGTAGTTAATAATATAATGCTAAAGCGTTAATGTGTTAATAAAATGCATTAAATAGTGTTAAAGGAGTGTTAATTAATAAATGATTTAAAATTCCTTTGAATACCTGATATTTCTTATTAAAATTATTATAATATATCAAATGTCTATATATATTTTTATAATTGTTAAGTATAGAAAATATAATTTGTCAATGATTTAAAATATGTAAATTCTATTCGAAAATTAATTCGAAAGTGGTATGATATTCTCTTCCAGCTTTGTTCTTTGCAGTGGCCTTAATCTCTGTCTCTCCAAATGAAAGCGTGTAGACAACTGAGCGATTAAGTCCAAGATGCTTATCGGGCATATTAATTGTAAACTTTCCAAGTAATTCAACACCAGGTTCATCACAATATTTTACCTCATACCCACGTGTAACATATATATCCATGCACATATCTACCTGATCTGCATATGCAACACGAAGAGTATCAG